GATTTTGACAATTTCTTAGTATTTTTTTGTGAAACTTCTCCTACTCCGGGGTCAGCTGCATCGGAATTTGACAACTTCTTACTATCTTGTAGTAAAACTTCTCGTACTCCGGGGTCAGCTGCATTGGGTTTTGATGATTTCTTAGCATCTCTTTGTAAAACTTCTCCTACTCCGGGGTCAGCTACATTGGATTTTGACAATTTCTTAATATCTTTTTCTAAGACTTCTCCAACTCTGGGGTCAGCTGCATCTGATTTTGACAATCTTTTAATATCTTTTCGAGAAACTTCTCCTGGTCTGGCATCAGCTGCATCATGCATTTTGTATCTCACTGAAAATGACAAAGTTTTAATTGTGATATGAGTTTGATCACATGGAATTAGAAATCTAGAATAGTGACTAAATATAATGACTATCAAAGCCGCATAACCTACAAATTTCATAAAGACCATTGCATCCAAATCGACCTGCCCCATTTATCAATAAGGTGGTCATGTACTTATCCTTTGTTGTAGTCTGTGAGTTTGTCAAATTTCCAGTATCCATGAGTATACCGGCCAGCTGCACATATAATCAGTCATAAAGAGATTATACCACATAAAGACATTTGAACTTGCATACACAATGGAAAATCAAGATATTGGAGTTAGTACCAGAAGACGACTGAACCATTGACCCACTAATAACTCTGGTGAAGTTAGTGTAAACTTGTCAGCAATAAGTGTACAGCATGATGCCTCCTACAATAAATAAGTACATATAAAAGGCGTCAAGCGAGCTTATAAGAACGATCATTTGGTTCCCTGCAGAAAATTTGATATGCGTAAACACATGAACCTTAGACTAACTCAACCACAAAAGCTAGCTACAGATTCCCTAAGGCGGTAAGGCCTAACTTTCTCCAACGTCTGCTTACTCCTGCTATAATTTTTCTCTACTTGTTCTTAAATTTATGCTGCTTAGCAATAATAATCTCTGTTAACTAGTTTAAGAGGAAGATGACATTTACTGGTATGTTGACTTTCTTCCATATTTCTAACAGAATGAGTAAGATACCTTCCCAATAGTGACAGCAGCAACTGAAGAATAAGGTGTATCTTCCTGCATAAACAGAAAGATTAGAGCATAGCCTCTCGATTGAACAGATTTTACTACTTGACATGACCAAAGCATAATGGAGATGCAGAAACAAGAAAACCAAAATAAAAGTAGAACCTCTCTGCAATTGAAGATTTCAACCACTGCATCCTTTAATGCCTGCTCCAGTAAGCAGTAAGTAATCATCATTTAACTGATTAATAGCAAATCAGCAACCTCAAAACAAAACACTTACCTCCTGATTAGCTGGAAGCTTGCTACAATTGACTAAAACAAGTTTAAGACTCCCATATAATTCATAGTAGGACAGGTCAATCTGTTCAAATAATATCAAGTTATCAATTGAATATATACAAATTAGTTACGCATATTTAGAGTATAGAGATATTTTCTTTTTACACTGAAGACAATCGTGCTTTCCAAGGAAAGCAGGATTGTTGTTTTGATTCCATTCCTGGTTTTCATTTACTATGTGGACGTAATTCTAGAGAATCTAGACTTAAATTTCATTTCCTTTCCTAACTTTGCATATAGAATGGAACATACCTCATCAACGAATATTAAGGAAGATTCATCAACAAAGCAAGAATCAAGTAGCCATCTGAGCTCAGCATGAGAATGAACATCCGACCTTTTCATGTTGATGACAGGCACAGTGCATAACTCGTCATCATTTAATGTTTCATTCAAGTAAAAAGCATACATTATGGTTGAAGCAACAGATCCAACATCTGCATCCAGATGCAAACAAACTTACAATTAAGCTCAACCAGTGTAAGACTCAAATTGTTAGATGGTCACAGACACACTTCTCTAAATTAGGATTTGTTTCTTCACTACTGCAGTTGATGAATTCAACGAAACAAGCACTTCTCAAATAATGCCACAGGACTATATAAGCTTAGCATTTCTCTTTTTTTGTAGTTGAATTTGCTTCGAATCTATTTACTTCTAGTCCTACAAAGTGGTACTTCATGAAAGAGATAAATTTAAGCAATTTGCAAAATCTCTACATGTGGAAAACAGCTGGTGCAACTTTCTCAAAACATTAAAGATAACCAATCAGAAATACTTATGCAATTACTAAGCAATATCTGTACTAATAAAGAAGCAAATTTGTAAAATCAAATGTGATATTACTAGGATCTAGTTCTTTAACTGTAGGTTTAGACCATTTGTTACTTTTGTGCCCAGAAGCCTCTTACTCTGTTGGATTATGCACTCATTTTACATAGTTTATGTTTTCAGTTGGAGACGTCCTGGATCTAGAATAGCATTCTTTGCTTAGTATTTGGATAAATTTGTTTTCTACCTTGTTTAAATAGAATCAAACATCAAGAAACTGGTCGTAATAGAATTCATGCATCACAGAAATATATATGAACACTCCTTTCGAGATGATCTTCTAAGCCCTAAGGTGGACCATTTTGGACATGAAATTAAGACCAATTTAAATATGGTATGCTTTAAGAATACGTTGGATGCCACTAAGCTACAAAGTTGAGAATGATTTATTTTTCTATAATAGAAGCTGGTTTAATATGGAGGTCACTTTTATTTAGACAGTGAATGGTTCTTAGATGTTACCACAGCAGTCCGGCCCAATCACCGCATGCAAGAATTTTGATGGTACTCCTGGACTAACATAATCTCTTCTTGCCTTTAGAAAAATATTCAGCCTGTGAATTCCTTGACATGATCCAAGAACTTCCATCTGCACTGAATTTCCACAGTAGAACGATGCTGCAGATGGAGGAAGTGGAATATCGGAGACAGTTCTACTTTTCTTGGTCACGGTGTAAGATCTTTCATAGGCAGGCAAAGTCAAGCCACCAGGAGAGTGATACTCTCCATTTGCTTCAGATGATTTTGGACTAGACTGCACTGAAGACTCATCTACATCAGGCAGATCAACTTTCAAACCAGACCGAGGACTTCCCACAGGAGGGGAATTCAATTTGGATGCTGCTAACCACCTTACAGATAATGACCGACCAAGAGGTTCATGTATTCCTTTTGAAGCTGAATTAGGAGAATGTCTATTGTTATAAACATCATTTTCAGATAATTTTACACTAATCTTTTTCTGTCCTCGGTTACCAACATCAGAGGCTGACCTCGTTATATCATTCCGAGTGACTTTTCTAAGGATGTCTAAACCACTTCCTTTGTTGATGGCTTCTGTTTCACCTCTTCGCATTCCATCGAAATAAGGGTCATCTCTGGCACGTACATATTTTTCCTGAAAAGTATAGCAGAAATAAGTAATTTAAGTGCTAATGCAGCTATAAGCATGTTTTGCCTTAGGTCCAACAAGACCACAGACACGCGCTTGATCAGGTATTTAGATTGAAGTTACACTGCAGAATCACACATTACAGATCTTGTCTACATCACTGTTTGGATTACTGAATATGATATGAAAAAAAAAATCAACAGAGCACTAAACTTTGTTTTCATTTATATTAGAAGTAATGTCGGGAATTCTGATTATGATGGACAAGTGATACAGTTTATGGGAACAGAATCTAAAGCATGAGCTCCAACCAGTGTCCGAGCCAAAATTATCTAGGAGGTTCAAAATATGAAGAAGTAAACACACGAAGAAGCAAGGGGATTCAACATCTACTCTATATGGATACATAAAAAATCATTCTAACCATGCATAGATAATGTATTTTTCTACCGAATAAGCCCCTTTGCACCCATGTGGTTCCGCCCCTGGTGCCAGCATCCTGGGATTCTTATGGATCACAGGTCATAATTATTACTCCTTATGTTTCAATTTATTTGCCTTACTTTCCTTTTTTAGCAAATCTTTAATTCTAACTTTCCACTTGTCATGTTTAAGACCACAAGATTGAAACACATTTTGGTACCTTGTAGGTATCTTTAGTTTAAGGCCACAAGATTCAAAAGTCTTTTGTACTTTCTTAAAACTCAACTCCATGCCAAGTCCAAACTAGACATACAAATTGAAAGTGAAGAAGTAATTTCTAGCCTAGCAAATGATTGAACCAAGAATTTCAGGCATCTGTTACGAAATCAAACGGAACATGTAAAAGGAGATTCTACAAGTACATGAAAAAGGGTCTAATAAAAATTGAACTTTGAGCTAGAAAAAAGTTAATTGAAAAAAAAAAATTCTCACTTTCTGAAATTCCGCCATTGGTGAACAAAGAATGTTTTGAGAAAGAAGAGAAATAGTCTGTCAAAAGAGAAAATAGATAGAACCAATGGTAACCCAAATTTTCGAAAAAATAAAAATGGGACGGTTAAGAGTAGAAAAAACAGAAAATAAAGCCAAAATAGCATCTTTGTGGCCTCCGCCATTGCAGCTGCTATATGATACAAGACAATTGAGCCAAAACAAACAAATTTTGGCCATTTTGCTTATTATAATAATCTCTTGCACATTCTTGAATGTTTTCAAAAATATTCTTTCTACATTTATACATCACCTTACGCAGACCCCATTACACTGAATAAGTTGTAGTCTTAATGTTTTTTGAAAAATAATTAAGGTCCAAAGATAATGTTGGAACTATTAAAACACATTGTTATCTATTACATAAAAGTTCAAACTGTTTTTTCACCATGCCAAGTAGTATATTGATAGAAAACTTGCATAAAAGTTCTAACTGCTTTTTCACCAAGCTTTATATACTATATACCGAAAACTTGAGATCTTTCTGCTTCCATCTAACCCAAAGCAAAAAATTGAATACAGAAACATGAACCAATTACCAATGGTAAGGAATATCATTGATGTCAGCCATATTTCCACAAGGACCTATTTTTCACTTATACATATGTGTCAATACTTGGATTGATGGTTACTGAGATGGTAAGCCCTCTATCAAAATTGTACTTCATCACAAAAATCTTTACCAATGGTAAGGAATATCATTGATGTCAACCATATTTCCACAAGGACCTATTTTTCACTTATACATATGTGTCAATACTTGGATTGATGGTTACTGAGATGGTAAGCCCTCTATCAAAATTGTACTTCATCACAAAAATCTTTATCTTCTATTTCTTGTTTAAAGAAAGTGCTAGGCCCCGTAGCTCCTCGAAAGCTTGCATAGTTTCTGCATCAAATCCTCCAGCAAACTGTACCAATAGAGATGAAAACTAAACTAAGATGACATTCACAATAATTTGATGCAGGTGAGTTACCAATCTATTCTTCATCAGTAGTAACATCCTGTTCTTCTTAGCAGGGGAATTCATTAATATCTCGTATTTATCGATTGCTTTATATAGAGTGTGTGTACAGTTTTGACAAAATGTGCCTTTATCCATAAAAAAAAATGTACATTACATGTTCATTTCAATATTTCTTTTTGTTGCACAATTAGAAAACTTGTTTAAGGTTTATAAAAAGATGAGAAAGGAGAAAGTGAAAGATGCAGACTGCAGCAGAGGAAATGCACAACACAGTATTTACTAATATCACACAAACCTGATGAATCCGGAAAGCAAATCTCACTCCTTGGAGTAGCATGTAGTCCATGGAAGTGTCTTTATCTAATGGTCCTTTGGACTGAAGCTCCGAAGCTACCCTCTTCATGTACACCTTAGCCAACTTCACAGAGCCAAACTTTATCTGCATAATTTCTTTTGAATTAAGTCCCAATGCAAAATGACAACTAGATAACAAGAAAAAAGGTACTGTAGTTTTTTGCTGAGTATTCTGCAGAGGAGGACATGCACCTATGCAAGAATGAAACTGCAAATAGATAAGCAATTTTAATGTTGAAATGTTGAGATACTGAAAATGGCATGCAAGGATGTAGTTTAAGATAATGTACAATCTTGAAACTCATCATCTGTCTCATATCAATCTCTCATCATATTCCGTAAAGTTTGGATTCCCTTCTGGTGGTGAACCGTATAATATGCATAATACAGTTAATTAACTTAATAAATAAAAGTTTTTTAGGACAATTTAACATGTCAGTATACTGCTTAGTTGTGTACTTCCAGTTCTGGCTAGTTATATCTCATTAGATACTCATTGTATCATTCAAGCTCTATTACCATTTGAAGATCTAAATCAACAGATGATTTTCTACTTGGAATAGTCAGAACTGACCTTGCTTAATATCCCATTATCAAGCATCCAGTGAGTGGGGATTTTGAACTCTTTGCTGTGGCGCATCAATGAGTCTCTTGTCCGAAGAAGGTTATAGACACTACGTTCCATCCTGCAATGTGAAGATAAAATTTGGACAATTAGGTGAAAAAAATTAACTTTCTTGGTAGAAGGGCCAAGGAGGTACCAAATTATAACTACTTTATGACAAAGTAAGAGGTCATACTTCTCTGACAAAGAAATAATCTTCTTTAGTGCAATATCACATGGCGATCGAGGATCGTCCTTATAAGTTGAAACTTCATTCTCCAACTTCTTGAGATCTCTATATCCAAATGCTGCCTCCCTTAGTGTGTCTGCTTTTCTCTCTGGCCAGTCAAAGTGCTTTAGGACTGCCCTTTCATCCACCTTCACAACAGTGCAAGCGCAATGATCAAAATTAACAGTAAATTACAGACTGTAGCTTCTATTTAATGTGAAATGAAATATAGCAGATATAGTTCCTCAATATTTGGTAGAATTTCCTGAGAACTACATTTTTGTACTCTGAATTCAATTGATAATAATTACTGAACTTAATGTCATACAACTACTACGAACTAGGACAGATGCATGATTTTTCTTTGAGTTATTCTTCATTTTCATGTGAATAATCCCAAAAATTTCAAAATGAGACAATAACAAGCTTCTCTTTGCTGTGACAGTAGATAAAGGCATTCTTCTCTATGCTGATACGTCTTACCAGAAAGCAAAGTTCATCATCTAGCCATTTCACAAAAGCAACCACGTCGTCGATGTCTGAATAAACTGCATTATTGACCTCTGCTATCAGGGAAATCACAAATTCTGCTTGAGTTTCCACATCTGCCCTTATCTGGAAGTGGGACAATATTATGCAATCAGGAATAAAATTAAGTCCAGAGACTAAAATAAAAAAATCTGAAACTTCCTCATTGCTGGACTAGTAATCAGAAAGGAGGACCAGGAAAATTCAGATACAGTGGCCAGACTGTGTCTGTCAATGTTCTGGATATCTCGAGTCATTGGAGTGCAATTTAGTGGTCATTGATATGGTTAGTGTGCCTTATTGACAATAATAGAATGAGAAGACTAGAGAGAAAGAACTTACAGCCAGCAAATATGATGATCTGTTCTCAATTTCACCGATCATGCTACTACGAACGTCTGAAACACTTGATGCATCACATACTCCTCCATTTAATGAATCCTTCCTCGAGTCTCTCTTCATCAGTGAATGATAAAACTCTACTACTTGAGGAGCTCTCTGTACCATGCCTGATGTAGTTTTGGCCATAAGTTTTGGAGGTGGTGGTGGAGGAGGAGGAGGAGGTGGTGGTGGAGGACCAGGAACTTGAACAGAATTTTCTCCTTCTTCTTCAATTAAAGCAACAGATGAAGGCCTCGGAGGGGGATTAGGAATCCGCAAGACACGTTTCTCGACCTCCAAAGGATTGGTTAATTTATGTTGGGAAACAATAGGCTCAATCTCCTTTTCCACTTCCTTGGAACACATAAAGACATCTGATTGCCTTCTCTTATTAAAAATCAAGTCCTCAACACAAAATTTTGATCCACTTATCGAGTGCCTGCGAGTAGAACTTTGTGTATCCTCCCAACTATGAGTAATGATATTATCCGGGCTCCCTAGTTGTTGCATATCTTCATCAGTAATAGGCCACTTCTTTAGCTTCTTAACGAGGCTTAACCTCCTTGCACTACTACATTTTGAGTCCTCATCACTATGATCATAAGACAAGCAAAGTGATTCCCTACTTTTCTCACTGCCATGAGGGCTAGAAGTCTTATCACATGTCATGGACGAGCAGCTGCGCAACTCTTCTCGCAAACATGAGTTCACCCACTTCAAGTAGGCAAGCTCCTCAACCTCATTCAACCTACTCATTTGAAGACCCTCAACTTGTTTGCAAAGGTTTTCATTTTCATGTCTCAACAAAGAAGCCTCTGCTTTAATATGCTCAATTGTATCTCCCTGATGAGAATAAAGTGAAACAGAGAAACAAGATATAATCAAGCCAGCCAATTACAATTGTTAGACATTTTCAAAATTTTCCGATACGACCACAACAACTCATACCCAGTGTAATCCCACAAGTGATACAGGTTGAACCACATTTTTCAGTATATCACTTACAAACTACTAGAGAAAACTATGCATTTTAGGCATATAAAGCCAATTCATCAAGGTTATTCAAATTCAAGATTTCAAAACTGGGTTTCCAAGAAAATGCAAACTGGATACTCTTATCTCATATTAGTTCAATAAGACAAAGTAGTAAAAGTAAATACCTCTGGAACTTTTCCAACAATGGCTAGCTGGGACTCCATGGAAGACAGCCTGCAAGAAATATCTCTTTTCTGTAGCTGGAGCTCCTTATTCAAGCGCCTCAACTCCACAACCTCCATTTCCAAACTAGTCACACTTTTGAATTCTTCCTTATTGGATTTCATATCTTGTCTCTCTCGGGAAGCAGTCAATGAACCTAATTGATGAGAAAGGACTGCCTTTTCACATTCCATCAATTCAACTTTCTTGGCAAAGCTATTAATCTCACTCTTCTTCAGTTCGAGTTCCCTCTCGAGCTCAACCACCTTTGGACTCCTCTTAAATTCAGATAATTCAGTCTGCAATTTCAATTCCCTTCCCTTTGATTCTTGTAGCAAGCTCCTCAAATGATCAATTTCATTGAATAGATCACGCGAACCGGAAGACTTAGTCCTGTGAATGTTAACTGTTTGAGGATGAACTTGAGAGGAAACGACTGAACAAGACAAGTCTCCCATTAGAGACCTCTTCACCCTTGGCTGCGAAATTCCAGAAGAGTTCTTCTGGTTCGAGTTTTCGTTGCCAGGAACCAACTCTTTCTTGGCATGAATTATGGTCTGCAACTTGGTTTTTCTCTCCCCTGAGAAACCCTTCACAATTTGAGAACCCCAAGAGGATCTCACCTTTGACATATTGTTATTACCTTTTACATTGCTATTACTACCCTTTGGTACCTTATTTTGATCAGCAAATTTTGAAGCTTTCACTCTATTCTCTAATGATTTTTCTCCCCCCATTATGAAAACTACAAAGACTCCTCACCCCTTATACTCAATACCCTGAACAGTTATGAGCTCAGAAACTCCAAACTTCCATGGATTAAACTCTAAATCCCTGAACATACAAATGGAGTTTTCTCATAACATGACTAAACCCAAGTTTAAAGCTAAAAAATGAAACCTTTTCACCATAACATGAGCTCCAGAAAACAGAGAATTCTTAATAGGTTTCTCAAAGCTCAAAATTGAATCTTTTACACCAAAACATGAGCTCCAGAAAACAGAGAACTCCTAAATTAGTTTATCAAAGCTCAAAATTGAAACTTTTACACCAAAACAAGAGCTCCAGAAAACAGAGAACTCCTAAATAGGTTTATCAAAGCTCAAAATTGAAACTTCTACACCAAAACATAAGCTCCAGAAAACAGAGAACTCTAAATGGGTTTAGCAAAACTCAAAACTGAAACTTTTACACCAAATTTCAGCATTGATCATCACAGATATCAAATGGGGTCCTTCAGTTTGAGCTCAAAACTGAAACTTTTCCATTGCATATGGTCTCTCTCTCAGAAAAGAAAGTGGAGCTCAAATTTAATAACGTTTCCACTGTAAAATCAATTACCCTCAAAAGTTCAAGAGTTTCCCTCTTAGTTTAAGCTGAAAAACTCAAATGGATTTCACTGGTAATTCAATTTTGACGATTCTAAAAACCCCCCTTTAAAAAGAAAAATCTTTTTACTACTCAAAAGCCAAGAAAGCTTACGAGTCGTCTTGTCGTTTCTGTGATCGTGCAATCAAGACGCTCCTCTGTTCAGTCTTTAATCATTAGTTGAAAATGAGAGAAAGAAAGGCTCATACTTTGAGGATTTCACTATACATTTCGAGAGAGAAAAAAAGGGAAGATTGTCGCAGCTTTAATGGCTGTTTGAATTTTGAAATTTGAATTTGTTCTTCTTTCTATATAAACTGATCTTAGCCGTAAGATTTTAGTTGGTCCCACCAGCTTACGTGTGATGGTCTTAGATGAACGGTTGAGATTGGAAATTAAGAAAAAGGTTCTGCAACGGTCGATAAATTTGCAAAATTAGTCAACTCTCCCACTAAAATTTGCTTTAAAAATCCTTTTCAACTTTCCCAAATTTAGTCATTTATGTCACTCCTTCCTGTTTCGTCGTAGATTTTGATGTTGAAATTTAAAGATTTGAATTTTTAAAGCTGTGACTTTTAAATTTTTAAATTGTGTTTGAATATATATTTTATTTTTAAAAAAAAATTACGACTAAAAGTCCCCGAAAACCCAAAATTGATTTGAGCTAATTTTTGAGAACTTGAAATATTTGACGATTAGATTATTGAATTTCACGGTCTATTAAATATTTAAAAGATAAATTTTCAAATTACTCTCAAATACTAGCTTCATCTTATATTTTATTTTATTTTACACTTTCCAATCTAAAATAATTGTTGTTTTATATTTGGGCATATGATTAAGTAGGCTTGCGTCCATAGGCCTGTGTAATAAAGATCATCCCACTAAAATTTAAAGGTGAGTTTTTTAAAGTAGTGGTTACATCATATATGTTATATGGGGTAGGGAGTAGAGTGTTGACCAATCAAGAATTTTTATATGTAAAAGATGAAATTTGAATTGAAATGTTTTATTGGAACACTTTACTAAGAGAGATAAAGTTTAGTAATGAAGGTATACAAGATAAGGTGAGAGTAGTATCAATGATAGACGAGATATAGAAAGTGAGACTGAGATAATTCAAACATGTGGAGAGGATGCATGAACACCCCGTTGTTAAGGTTGTAGGAGGTGTCTATGGATGGCTTCAGGAGAGATAGAGGTGGATCGAAGAAATATTAGGCAAAAATGAGTTGACATGACATGACGTAATTATAGCTTACCAAGAACATGATCTTAGAGACGAGGGTATAAAGGACACTAATTACACTAGAAGGTTGGTAAGTATTGAGTGTTTATCCTTTCATACTAGTAATTGTGGTTTTATTCTTGTCGTTTATTGTTATTCAATTTATGTTACTTTTTTATTGTTTCTTGTACCCAAGTTATTGTCTTATTTTGTTGTAGTTATTGATCCTTTTAAGAATATTTTATTATATATTTTTTATTTCTTGTCATAGCTTCTTCACTCCCGTTACTTCTTTTTCTCTTGAACTATTTTTTTTCACCAATGATTTATTGAAAACAATCTCTTTCTTCCAACGTAGGAGTAAGGTCTTCTTACACATTTCCCTCTCCTAAACTCCACTCATAGGATTACACTAAATATATTACTGTTGACCTCAGTCCCCAATATATATGATCTTTTTAAGAAAATAAATAAATTATTTTCACATCTTCAATTTGTTTGTCTTACTTTTTTTTAAGTCTATTTTAAAAGAATGTCTCTTTCCCTTTTTAGCAACTCTTTAATTATAATTTTTTCACATGAATATTTAACACCACAAAATTAAAAAATATTATGATACATTCTACTTATCTTTAGTTTAAGATCACAAAATTAAAAAAATCTTTATTTTCTTAAATTTCATGTCAAATTAAAATTAAAAAAATGAATTGACATAGAGAAAGTACTGTAGAAGTCAAATAATAAATTTAAACTTCATAAATCTCAAATTCAATTTTCTAATAAGTGGGGTGTTGGAAGCAAATAATAGCTTCAAATTTTGATGGCATTACACTACTAGAAGTTTCTGACGACAAACTTTGAATTTTTTTGATAATTAATTACTATTAACTACTATTAAGTATGCGTTTGACCCGTATGATTTGAGATTTTAATTTGAAATCAACATTTATTTATGAAAATATGATAAAAACTTTAATTTTATGATCGCTTCTCTATAATATAATATAATATATAATATATCAATTGTTGCTTCATTTAATTTACTTCAGTGATAGGCTCTCAAAATATTCAAATCAACATTTAATAATAATCAGAATATTCCGTCAATCCTTTAGGATTAAGGAATATAAGCTAGCATTCATAAAGAAAGTTGCATAAATATTTTAAAATTTATTATACCAATTAAAAACATTTATAAGCGTTTTAAAAGAACCAAGTATATCTATTTATTTTCAACTAGCTTCATTGGTTTATTTTTAATTAATGTTTGAATCTGAATGATTCAAAATTTGTTTACATTATTAAGTATTTATTTGGTCTGACTAGGTCTTAATCATTAAAATTTTGAATAAATTCTTAATATCATTAATAAATATTTTGTGTGAATAATTTTTACTAGAACTCTTTCCAGAATCATTAATCACCTTTATCGTCAATCACCCGTCATTACCATCGACCACTTTTGTCATAACAACCATTACTAACAGCTATCTGCCACTTATTACTAACGGTCATCTCTATCGTTATAATATATTCATTGTCATTGTTATCACTGCCATCTCCATTATTATTTCAACCACTATCACCACTACGGCAAATCCTTAGTACTAACCACCTCCGTCATTACAAGTTTGCGCCATCAACTAACATCAATACATCGTTAACTACTAACATCAATCAACTTCTCCACTACAATCATCACCACCACAACCAACCTCCACCATCATAATTACTTGCCAGTAGCTAGCTACTACACTAACCATTCCAGGCACTTAGGACTCGTTTAGTGTGAGTTATAATGTATAATAATCTCATGAATAAATGTATGATTATTTTATCCTATATTTGGTTGGAGATATTAGGTAGTCATTGAATTAGTTATCCGACCAATTTTACTATAGTGATGAGATAAGTGTTGACACCCAATTTTGACCCTCCCCAATTTAATTAATTATCAAGCTTCTTAAAGTTCAAACAATCTGAAGTGATTATTTTGAAAAAAAAAATACTTTAGAAATCATCGTCAAGGCGATTTTCCTTTTTCCCTTTAAAATATATCTCTATATACTTGAAATATATAGATTTATATAATTTTCATTTTTTGAATAAATATTTAGAAAGTAGTTTTACTAAAATGGTGTTTTAACTGAGTTAGCATTTTTATTTCTTCAAGAATAAATTAAATTACGTAACTAATCTTTTTTTTTATTATTTAAAAAATAATTAAGATTTTATGTCAAGATGATTGTTTTATATTGTCGGAGTTAAGAAGCTTAATAATTAATTGGATACATAATTTATTTTCATACCAAGGGACTAAGGCCATCTCTTTGCCTTTAAACTATTTTAAAATCCATTTCAAAGCCCAAAAAGCTTCCGGCCCAACTCCACTTCAACCCAACCCATGTTACATTAAGAGACCCAAGACTTAATACTATTCTTCTTCTCTGAGACGCGAAAGGACGACAACAAAAACCAAATGATGCGATTTCAGCTCAGAACGACGTCACGTCTCATTCCTCTCTCGAATTCGTACTATTCAGCGTGCCAGGCACGAGCCTTCGTACGAGTAACCTTCGAGATGAGCCACGCGACTCTTATCCATTTAATTCTCAATTTTCCTTCTCAACCGTTTGATTTGGTACGAATTTGTACCTCCTCCAACTCGCAAATCTAATCTGATAAGGAATTTTAGATTTTTGCATTACTCCCACATCAAAAAATTTCTCAGAATTTGGAGACTTTGGGTGCTATAAAAAGCCCTTCTCCTCACTGTTCATGGGGACAATTCTTGAAACCTGAGAGTACCCCTAAAAGGTTTGGGAATTCTCAGTTCAATAATTTAAAGCGTTGTGGTTGTTCGAGTTTAAGCGGTGAAATCGTCTTCATCAAACTCGTTGTCTTGGTGGGTTGCTCGGCAAAAGGTAATTGCTTATCTTTTACTTCTTTCTAGTTTAATTTGATTTTGCCTGCTTAGATTTTGCATTATGCAGTGTTTTGTCTGCCTTTGTTTGGATTATGGATGATATAAGAATTTATAATTTGGCATCGTTTGAGTATATGCTTTGGCAGACTATAGTTATACAGTAGTATAAAACTCGATTTGCTAGTTTGATTCCTCCAATTTAGAGTTTGAGTTTGATCAATGATAAGATACTCTCGTTTTTGGTGAAAAGGTCCAGTTTTAGTTATTGTGTTTACTTCTTTGCCTTCATAATGATTTATAGTTTAGCACTTTCATTATATTGGATTGG